GATTTATTGTTGATTTATTGTGAGTTTATTGTTGATTTATTGTTGATTTATTGTTGATTTATTGTGAGTTTATTGTTGATTTATTGTTGATTTATTGTGGGTTTATTCTGAGTTTATTGTGGGTTTATTGTTGATTTATTCTGAGTTTATTGTGGGTTTATTCTGAGTTTATTGTTGATTTATTGTTGATTTATTGTTGAGTTTATTGTGGGTTTATTGTGAGTTTATTGTGAGTTTATTGTGAGTTTATTCCGTTCCGATCCGTTCGCCATTGATGGCGGGTTCAGCTTCCTTTCAGCGGTCTGGTGGAAACAGAAGTTGTTCTTGAGGAGAGATGAGAGCTTCTGTTGTTGTTGTTGTTTGTGGTTTTCACACAGTAAACAAATCAGCCTGAGAGAAACTTCCTGTCCTTCATGCTGCCGCCAACTGAAAGCGTCCTCTCAGCCGTCCTCACGATGGACTAATGCAAACTCTGTGTGTGTGTGTGTGTGTGTGTGTGTGTGTGTGTGTGTGTGTGTGTGTGTGTGTGCAGCAGAGATAGCATGGGAGCTAGCCGTTTGCAGCTAACCACAGCTTCCTGGAGTTGGCACGTTGATGATGTCACAGGAAGCGTTGCGACAGAAATAAACTCGTCTCCGCTCCGTTTGTAAGAGACAGAGAGAGAGCCAATAGGAAGAGGGCGCCTGTACGTACCTGAGTTACATCACGTCCTTTTCTGAGGGCGACCCTGACCCTTAGCTCATCCTAACCATTAGCATACTGACATCATAGCTGTTTTATTTCTTCTTTCTTTATTGAATATACTGGTTATTAATTGATCTCTCTTTATAAATCCTGATCTTTTATCATTCATCTGAGTTGTTTGTTGTTGTTGTTTTGTCGAGAGGAATGCCTCATTGTCCTAAATAAAGTAAACACACGATCTAATCTGATAGAAATTCATGTTCCTGGTACGTCTGCTCGAGACAGACGACCACCCACCTAGAGCCGGAGGATCTGTCCTAGGTTTCTGCCTTTTAACAGGCAGTGTTTCCTTGCCCTTGTCTCCAAGGTCTTGCTCATGGTGGTACTGTTGGGTCTCTGTAATTAATGTTATAAGCAGTTCGGTCAAGACCTGCTCCGTTTGAAAAGTGTCCTGAGATAACTTCTGTTAGGAACTGGTTGGCTCTTGCATTGGACAGTGGAACGTTCGCAGAGAACGCCGGAGAACGTTGGTGGATCCATGAATGAAACATCAATAAGAGAATATTTGCTGATTTCTCTGTGAGTCGCTGACAGGATGGATGCAGGGACCACAGTTAAAGCTCTGTTGTCACTGCGACTCTGGTGGCTCTCTTTAAAGAGGTGCATGATGGGAAGTGAAGTCTTCCTGCTGCGTCCGGACTGATGTTCAGTGTGTGACTTTGACTCGACCTCGGCTCTGTTTAATTCTATTATCTCTGTATTTTTATCCTCACAGCTGCTCGTCTTAATCCTCAGACTTTTAACCGAAGCTGCTGCTTCACCTGTCGCCCTCCTCACCTCTCTGTCTTCTTCTTCTGTGGTGTTGAGGCTGTCGCAGTGGATGGGGGGGAAACTTAAGCTGGATTTATTCTGGCATGTCCTGGACAAACCTTTGTTTTAGTTTTAAATCTGTTCAGCTGTGCCACTTTCAAACCTCAGACACAGCTGAGCCCCCAGTTTAAAATAGTTTGTGTCTGTCTGTCCACGAGTCCGGCTTTAAACTACACTGTAAAACAAACACTGTAAAAAAAATACTGTAAAACAAATACTGTAAAACAAATATTGTAAAATAACTGACTCGTAAAAATACAGTCATTTTATATAACTAAATAGTTTTTAGCTTTAATTTTACATAGAATATTGTGTAAGTCAGTCAGAGTTGGCCAGGGCAAGGGAAGTTTGGGGTCGTCTGCTGGACCTGCTACCCCCGTGACCTGATCCCGGATAAGCGGATGAAGATGAGATGAGATGAGATCTTGTATAATTGTTTGTCTTTTGATGTTTAATTAAAGATATTTACAGTGTAAAACAATGAGCTATAGATACAGGTGAACTCTGCTATAATACAATAATCAGACTTACATTTACAGCAGAGTGCTGTTATTATTGGATTGTTATTACTTTAATGTGAATGTTAAAAGTTATAGAAGTGTAATAAAAGTCATTATCTGTGCAATTACAGTAATTATTGCTGTTTACACTGATAACAACTGTATTTGGACAGTTTACCAATGCTTATACACTGATAAACAACATTTATTCAACTTCCATCATTATACAACATATCTGTCAGTTAACTAACTCATACATTACAATTAATTCAGTTAAATTCAATTCAATTAAATTTTATTTGTATAGCGCCAATTCATAATAGAAGTTATCTCAGGACACTTTCCAAATAGAGCAGGTCTAGACCGAACTCTTTATAACATTATTTACAGAGACCCAACAGTACCACCATGAGCAAGACCTTGGAGACAAGGGCAAGGAAACACTGCCTGTTAAAAGGCAGAAACCTAGGACAGATCCTTTGGCTCTAGGTGGGTGGTCGTCTGCCTCGACCAGTTGGGGTGAGAGAGACAGAGGGAGCGAGAGACAGACAGACAGACAGGTGCACAGAAACAACAGTATTGGCAATGGCAATCTAGCAGGACCATGGCAGGAGGCTCCACCAGGATCGATAAGAACCTGCGAGACGAGAAAGCACAAGAACTCCGGGGAAGAAGTGAAGTTGGTAACATGCATTAATGGAACATGAATGAGTGCAGAAAGAGAGAGGAAGAGAGGAGCTCAGTGCACCATAGGAAATCCCCCGATAGTCTAGGCCTATAGCAACATAACTAAGGGATGGTTCGGGACTCACCTGATCCAGCCCTAACTATAAGCTTTATCAAAGAGGAATGTCTTAAGCCTACTCTTGAATGTGAACCGAACCACAACTGGAAGCTGGTTCCACAGGAGAAGAGCTTGGTAACTGAAGGCTCTGGCTCCTGTTCTACTTTTAGAGACTATAGGAACCACAAGTAGCCCAGCATTCAGAGAACATAGTGTTCTAGAGGGGTAATAGGGTACTATGAGCTCTTTAAGATATGAAGGGGCCTGACCATGAAGAGCTTTGTAGGTGAGGAGGAGGATTTTAAATTCTATTCTACATTTTACAGGGAGCCAATGCAGAGTAGCTAGTACAGGAGAGATGTGATCTCTTTTTCTAGTTCCTGTCAGTACTCGTGCTGCAGTGTTTTGAATTAATTGGAGCGTTTTAATGGACTTATTGGGGCAACCTGGTAATAAAGAGTTGCAGTAATCCAGCCTAGAAGTAACAAATGCATGGATTAGTTTTTCTGCATCTGTCCGTGATAGGATGTGTCTAATTTTTGTAATATTACGTAAATGAAAGAAGGCAGTCCTAGAGGTTTGCTTTATGTGGGAGTTAAATGACAAATCCTGATCAAAGATAACTCCAAGATTCCTGACAGTGGTGCTAGAGGCCAAGGTAATGCCATCTACAGTAACTATATCTTTAGACAGTGAGTCTCTAAGGTTTTTGGGGCCAAGTACAAGAATTTAATTTTTTTCTGAGTTTAACATCAGAAAATTGCAGCTCATCCAGGATTGTATGTCCTTAAGACATGTTTGTAATTTAGATAATTGATTAATTTCATCGGGCTTGATCGATAGATATAACTGCGTATCATCTGCATAACAGTGAAAGTTAATGGAGTGATTCCTAATAATGTTGCCTAAAGGGAACATATATATAAAGTAAATAGTATTGGTCCAAGTCCAGAACCTTGTGGAACTCCATGACTAACTGTAGTATTTATTGAAGATTCATCGTTAACATGTACAAACTGCGAACGATCTGATAAATATGACTTAAACCAGCTTAGTGCGGTTCCTTTAATGCCAATTTGATGCTCAAGTCTCTGTAAAAGAATATCATAGTCAATGGTGTCAAATGCAGCACTAAGATCTAATAATACAAGTACATTGTCTGAAGCAATCCAAAGGTTATTATTAACTTTAACCAGAGCTGTCTCTGTGCTGTGATGAACTCTAAATCCTCACTGAAAATCCTCAAATAAACTATTGTTATGTAGAAAGTCACACAACTCTTTGGCGACTACTTTCTCCAGAATCTTAGAGAGGAAGGGGAGGTTAGAGATTGGTCTATAGTTGGCTAAAACCCCTGGGTCAAGAGTGGGCTTTTTAAGAAGGGGTTTAATTACAGCTACTTTAAAGGACTGTGGTACATATCCTGATAATAAAGAAAGATTAATCATATCCAGTAAAGAAGTGCCAATTAAGGGTACGACTTCTTTAAGTAGCCTAGTTGGGATCGGGTCTAATAGACAGATTGATGGCTTCGATGAAGAAATGATTGAAGTTAACTGATGAAGATCGATAGCAGAAAAACAGTCTAAATATATATCTGAGTTTACATTAGTTAAAGTTCCTGAACTTGGAGAGCCACTGATAACTGTTGATGGCAGTCGGTGATTAATTTTCACTCTATCAGTAATAATTTTATTATAAAAGAAGCTCATGAAGTCGTTGCTACTTAAGTTTATGGGGATATGTGGCTCAATAGAGCTGTGAATAATATGCTCCTCTGGCATGACGGAGGGCCTTTCTATAAGTTTTAAGATTATCTTGCCAAATTGAGCGATATTCTAATAATTTGGAAGAGCGCCATTTCCTTTCAGATTTCCTAGCTTTTTGCTTTAACTGGCGGGTTTGGTGGTTATACCACGGTGCTAGTCTCCTATGTTTTAATAATTTCCTTTTTATAGGAGCGATAGAGTCTAATGTTGATCGTAGTGAGCCTGCAGCACTATCAACAAGATTATCAATTTCAGAGGGACTAAAGTCGTTATAGGACTCTGTTAAATTCAGACATGGCATTGAATTAAACACTGAAGGAATCTCCTCCTTAAATTTAGTTACAGCACTGTCAGATAGACATGTGCTGTAGGAAGTTTTGCCTAATGGCTTATAATCTAATAGTATGAATTCAAAAGTTATTAAATAATGGTCAGATAGGAAAGGATTATGTGGGAAGACTATTAAATGTTCAATATCAATGCCATATGATAAAACAAGGTCAAGAGTGTGATTAAAACAATGAGTTGGTTTATTTACACTCTGACAGAAGCCAATTGAGTCTATTAATGAGATAAATGCGTTACTAAGGCTGTCATTGTTAACATCCACATGAATATTAAAATCCCCCACAATAATGACTTTATCTGATTTAAGGACTAAACTTGATAAAAACTCTGAGAATTCAGTTATAAAGTCAGAGTACGGTCCAGGAGCGCGGTACACTATAACAAATAGAACTGGCTGCAGTGTTTTCCAGTTTGGGTGAGAAAGACTAAGAACAAGGCTTTCAAATGAATTATAATTTAGTTTAGGTTTAGGGTCCATTAAAACGCTCGAATCATATATGGCTGCTACTCCACCTCCTCGGCCTGTGCTTCGAGGAATGTGAGTATTAATATGACTGGGGGGGGGGGTGGATTCATTTAGGCTAACATACTCCTCGTGGGACAACCAGGTCTCAGTAAGACAAAGTAAATCAATATCATAATCTGATATTAATTCATTCACTAAAACAGCTTTAGAGGACAGAGACCTGATATTTAACAGCCCACATTTCATTCTCTTATTTTGTGCTACTGAGGAGTTGGTTTTAATTTTTATTAGATTTTTATGTTGAACTCCTCTTGTTTTTATTTCTTTAAATAATTTAGGTGGTCGGGGGACAGACACAGTCTCTATGGGGTTTTGGGTGGGTGACTGTTCTAAAGAAAGCGCAGAGAAGTGTGTAAGACAGCAGCTCTGCTTGCTGGTCCCAACTCTGGACTGTCAGGTTTTAGAAATAAACTTCGCTATATTCCTAGATAAGAGAGCCGCTCCATCCAAAGTGGGATGGATGCCGTCTCTCCTACTCAATCTTTCCCCAAAAAGGCTTCCAGTTATCAATGAAGCCCACATCGTTTTCTGGACACCACCTCGACAGCCAGTGGTGGAAGTCCGACATGCGGCTATGATTACACAACTAATCACCAAAAAAACACTGTTGACACTGTAGGGAAGCGGAGAGAGAAGGCACAATAGTTTTTCCCTGGAAGGCTCAGCTGTATTCAGTTGGTAAATCCTTCACACTGGTCCTTTAAATAACAGTTCATACAGCTGGAGCCATAAATCCATTAAACCCTCAGACAAGAAGTCGTTCTTCAGCTTTACAGAAAGTTTCTTTTAAATTACAAATTATTTATATAACATAATAATTTAATGTTTGTAAAAATGTTGAGCTTTCAGACTAAACAAGCGCTGTGAACTCTGGGTAATAATGAAAATAATCAATAGTTAATACTTTAACTACAGTTTACTCTTTATAGTATACATATATATATACACGTGTATATATATATATATTATACATATATATATAGTATAATACATACATATGTATATAGAACACGTCACCATTATTCTCAGTAAATATATTTCTAAAGGTGCTATTGACATGAAATTTTCACCAGATGTTGGTAACAACCCATGCAATCCACACATGCAAAATCAAACCATAGATGTCCATAAATTAAGTTATGTGTAATAATGTGAAATGACACAGGGGAAAAGTATTGAACACATGACGAAAGGGAGGTGCAGAAAGTCATGGAAAGCCAAGACACCAGCTGAAATCTATCAGTAATTAGAAAGCAATCCTGCCACTTGTCAGTGCAAATTAATATCAGGTGGTTCAGTCCCAACTGATTGCCTATAAAAAGGTGTCTCATCACCGAAGTGTCACACAAGAAACATCTCATGATGGGTAAAACCAAAGAGCTTTCGCAAGCCCTTCGCAACCTATTGTTGCAAAACATACTGATAGCATTGGTTACAGAAGGATTTCTAAACTTCTGAATGTTCTAGTGAGCACTGTTGGGGCCATAATCCGGAAGTGGAAATAACATAATTTAACCATAAACCGGCCATGACTAGGTGATCCTCGCAAGATTTCTGACAGAGGAGTGAAAAGAATTATCAGAAGAGTTGTCCAAGAGCCAAGGACCACTTGTGGAGAGCTTCAGAAAGACCTGGAATCAGCAGGTACAATTGTTTCAGAGAAAACAATAAGTAATGCACTCAACCGCCATGGCCTGTATGCACGCTCACCGCGCAAGACTCCATTGCTGAAGAAAAAGCATGTTGAAGCCCGTTTACAGTTTGCTGCACAACATTTAGACAAGCCTGTGAAATACGGGGAGAATATAGTCTGGTCAGATGAGACCAAAATTCAACTCTTTGGATGCCATAATACACAGCATGTTTGGAGGTCAAATGGCACTGCACATCACCCCAAAAACACCTTACCAACAGTGAAGTTTGGAGGTGGGAACATCATGGTGTGGGGCTGTTTTTCAGCATACGGCACTGGAAAACTTCATATAATTGAAGGAAGGATGAATGGAAAAATGTACCAAGACATTCTTGATAAAAATCTGCTGCCATCTACCAGGATGATGAAGATTAAACGAGGGTGGACATTTCAGCAAGACAATGATCCCAAACAAACAGTCAAGGAAACTCTCAATTGGTTTCAGAGAAAGAAAATAAAGCTGCTAGAATGGCCCAGCCAATCACCTGAATTGAATCCAATAGAAAATCTATGGAAAGAACTAAAGATCAGAGTTCATAGAAGAGGCCCACGGAAACTTCAAGATTTGAAGACTGTTTGTGTGGAAGAAAGGGCCAAAATCACACCTGAGCAATGCATGTGACTAGTTTCTCCACACAGGAGGCGTCTTGAAGCTGTCATTACCAACAAAGGCTTTTGTACGAAGTATTAAATAAATTTCAGTCAGCGTGTTCAATACTTTTTCCCTGTCTCATTCCATTTTATTACACATAACTTTTTATTTAGAAATTATTTATTTTGGTTTCTTTGCGTGTGTGGATTGCATGGGTTGTTAGTGACATCTGGTGAAAATTTCATGACAATAGGACCTTTAGAAATATATTTACTGAGAAAAATGGTTATTTTACCCGCTGTATGTGTGTATATTACTGATAATAATCCACTGCTGCTGGAAACACACAGTTTTCACACTAAAAAGGCATTTTAAACACACAGACACACACACACACACACACATATACACATATATACACACACACACACACACACACACACACACACACACACACACACACACACACACACACACACACACAGTGAGTGATCATGCAGAGACTCTCTGAGGCTGAAATGACCAAATGTAGTCATGAATGAAGTTCTCACACTGTTTCCAACCTGTTTAAACTTGCTGCGTTGCCACGGCGATGGCGGAAGCGGCAGCTGCAGATAACCGCTGTGATGGATGATCGCGGATGCTAACTGCTAACTGAGGCTAACAGGAACTCACGCTGCTGCTGCAGTTCTTGTCGGCGGTTTGTTACAGAACAATAATCAATACCATTATTGATTATTTGATTTTATTTACAATAAACCATCAAATTTAATATAATAAACCAACGTTTTTCACGTGTCCCCTTTATGCTTGGAACGGGAGGGTGAGGCGAGGGAGTTGCAGTCTCCACTTCACCACTAGAGGGCACTAAATCCTCCACACTTTGTCTTTTCCACTGAAGTATAAGAATGAATTCAGAGTTTTTACTTAAAGCAGCAGCGAGCAACCTTCACTCTGAGTTGATTGCGGCGCCCCCTGTGGACAAAAGCGGTAGTGTTTCTACCGCCTGGTTTCATTTTATATATTCATTCTGCTGTGTGCTGTTTGTGTCTGTGTCTCACGCAGAGGCCCCATGTTTATAAGTCACCGTGGAGTCAGTATTTCTTCCTCCGCTCTTCGACCCAAACAAAGATGGCAGCCAGAAAAGATGGATGTGTGCTCGTCCTGTTGCTGCTTTTGGTTGGAGGAACGGAGTTTGTCAGATGCTCGCTGACACTCGGATTCTTTTTACACAAACATTTATGACATTTTATAGAGTAATTATTATGGTGCAGCCCCGGGTGCTGATGTTGTTCTGTATCTCCTCGTGGATCAGTGCGGCTGTTTGCTCTCACTGATGTATGATTCACGCAGGAGGGCAGCAATTTAATCCTAACCCTCCATTGGCCACAAACACACTGACCTTCATCACTGAGGTCCAAATGTCCTTTGTAATTTTAATAACAATAATGCTCCTGTGTTGTAGACCTGTGTGTGATAGACCAGCAGCTCTGTCAGGACGAGAACTCTCTGCTGAGTTTCGAGGCGATCTGCAGCATCCACAAACTGATGGATGACGACGCCGATGGGACGGTGGACGCCACCGAGACGGACGAGGTGAGACGCAGGCACTCCCGGCCGAAGGTAAAATGTGCCGTGCTGATTTATTTTTACGGTAAAATGTCGGAACCTGTTTCAGTTTCTCAGGGAGGATCTGAAGTATCACGACCCCAAAGCCAAACACAGCAGCTTCCACCGGGCCGACCTGCTCATCAGCGTGGAGGACATGTGGACCACCTGGAAGAGCTCCGAAGGTGAGGAGGAGGAAGAGGAGGAGGAGCACCTCACAGCGTCCTGAAAGGAACATTTATTCTAGTTTTCATTGTTCAGTTGCTTTTGCTCTCGCCACCTCCGTTGTAGAGGTTCAGAGTTCCTACGCCACGAAGGACGCTGCTGCCTCGCATCGCTCTTGGCTAGCAGAAAGCTATTGTTAGCTTTTTATCCTTAGCATGATTTATTGTTGGCTAAAATAGACACCGTTTGTCAGAATAACAAAAGTTAGTATCATGGATCACATTAGCTAATGTTAGCCAACTAGCATATCTACTCCAATAGGATTTTGCCAGCAGTAACGTCAGCATGCAAGCTAAGGTTAGCGAACCAGCGACAATCCAGCCACTTTGAATTATGTTATCCAGTCTGGATATAGTGACAGTATTGTGCTACGTACGAGTGTACATATCCACTCAGATACTGTTTAGCAAGCAAGCTAATGTATCCAGCTAACAGCACAATCAGACAATGTGTTCCACTAGCTTAGCAGTAATGTTAGCTTTGACTTTGGACTCTGTGTTGTGGACTCTGTGTTGTGGACTCTGTGTTGGACTCTGTGTTGTGGACTCTGTGTTGGACTCTGTGTTGGACTCTGTGTTGTGGACTCTGTGTTGGACTCTGTTGTGGACTCTGTGTTGGACTCTGTGTTGGACTCTGTGTTGTGGACTCTGTGTTGGACTCTGTGTTGGACTCTGTGTTGGACTCTGTGTTGTGGACTCTGTGTTGTGGACTCTGTGTTGGACTCTGTGTTGTGGACTCTGTGTTGTGGACTCTGTGTTGTGGACTCTGTGTTGGACTCTGTGTTGGACTCTGTGTTGTGGACTCTGTGTTGGACTCTGTGTTGTGGACTCTGTGTTGGACTCTGTGTTGTGGACTCTGTGTTGGACTCTGTGTTGTGGACTCTGTGTTGGACTCTGTGTTGGACTCTGTGTTGTGGACTCTGTGTTGGACTCTGTGTTGTGGACTCTGTGTTGTGGACTCTGTGTTGTGGACTCTGTGTTGGACTCTGTGTTGTGGACTCTGTGTTGTGGACTCTGTGTTGTGGACTCTGTGTTGTGGACTCTGTGTTGGACTCTGTGTTGCCCACTGTTGGCACTCGGGAGCATAAAGGTCACAACCTTTGACCCTCAACCTACATAGAGACACATATAATATTAGCCTTGATGCTAATGCATTATTAGCGTTTCTCTCCATTTGTTTCTGCTGTCTTACAGTGAGTTGACTTCAATGTGAAACTAACTTCAGTCACTGTTGATGTTAGGCTGTTTGTATAAAGTCATCAGGGAAACGGTTGAGGAGAAGCAGTTTGTACATAAACAGCATCATAATGTACACACAGTTTATTCAGCCTGTAAATAAACCATCAGTCAGCTCACAGAACCAGACCTGAGGTTCATGTTGGTGTAAAGACGTTTCAGATTCCTCTGAGGAGGAACAGAGGGATGAAGAGGAGAGGAAGGACAGAAGTAGGGCTGTGTGATGATACAGTGAGGAGATAAATGATTGTTAGTGGGACGATCATTAACTGTTTCACTGCAGCTTCTGTCACTATGTGAGCGGATGGGGAAAGAAAGGATGAGTGTGCCACATTTATCCACACAGGCTCTCCTATTTCTGTTATATGACACATAAAGACACCACAGATAAACACATGAGACAGACAGTCAACTGCTGCACATTATTATTATAATATATATATTATTATTATTAAAGTGTACCAGGTTTGTGCTGCTGGACGTACTTTATCTCTCTCTGGGATTTCACAGGAAGCAATGAGCCTTAAACAGGGTAAAATCCTATTTTTGGATCCTCTTTATTTTATTTTCCAGCTCACTTTGTCACCACGATGACGTAAAAACAGACTCATGAAGGATCATAGCAGCAGCTCAGATGTGTTCTTTTCACACTGCCCTCTGACCTCTGTGTGTGTGTGTGTGTGTGTGTGTGTGTGTGTGTGTGTGTGTGTGTGTGTGTGTGTGTGTGTGTGTGTGTGTGTGTGTGTGTCTGTCAGTGTATAACTGGACGGTGCAGCAGGTGGAGGACTGGCTGCTCGTCAGTGTTGAGCTTCCTCAGTACACAGAAACCTTCAGGAAACAGCAGCTGGATGGAAAGGCCTTACCCAGGTACACACACAGTAACACACACACTGTAACACACACACTGTAACACACACTGTAACACACACACTGTAACACACACTGTAACACGCACTGTAAAACACACTGTAACACACTGTAACACACACACACTGTAACACACACTGTAACACACACACTGTAACACACACACACACACTGTAACACACACTGTAACCCCCACACACACACTGTAACACACACACACACACACTGTAAAGCACACACACACACACACACACTGTAAAGCACACACACACACACACACTGTAACACACACACTGTAACACACACACTGTAACACACACTGTAACACACACACACACACACTGTAACACACACACACACACACTGTAACACACACACACACACACACACACACTGTAACACACTTTCTCCCCACAGAAACAGCTGGTTCTGAGACTGGCTCGGTAGGAAGTGAGCAGGAACCATCTGAAAACAGGCTCACTTATTATATGAACATAATCAGTTACATGATTATGTTCAAATAATAATAATAACAACAATAATAATAATAATAATAATATTGTTAAAGCAGCCATAATAATATGTCAGCTCTCAGATTTCGGAGCATCCTTGAATGCACCAGTGGGCTTTGAAACCACGACTATGACAGTGTTTGTCTCTGGGTCGCCGCTTCCTGCCGAGGTTAAAGTGACAGTGTGTGTGTGTGTGTGTGTTGGCGGCAGGTTGGCGGTGAAGAACACCACGCTGACCGTGATCCTGCTGAAGATCTTAGACCGGAGTCACGCTCAGAAACTGCAGCTCAAAGCTCTGGACATCGTTCTGTTCGGCCCACCGCCAGGTCAGTGATTAAAGAAAAAACATCACTACAGATTATATTATTTTAAGTTTAGATTATTACTTTCTCCTTAGAATTTTTTCTTATTTCTTTTTTATTCACCCATGCTGGAGTGTGAATGTCGTTCTATGCTATCTAAGAGGGAACTTGTGTCATTATGTACCAGCCAACAGGGGACTGTCATTCTATACAGTACTAAAAACTAAATAAGATATAATCTAATGACATAATAAGGATGAATAGACCACTCTGTTTATTTCACCATTCCACACACATCATAAAAATAATTCAAATTCCCCTAAGAAATTCAAATTAGTGCACTATTGTAATAATATATAATTTATGTAATTAAAGCCTATATAAAGTAATGTTGTTGCTAGCACTGCAGGCCTTAATATTAGTGCATGCAGCCAAGTTACTTCTTAATTGCAGGTAAATCATTATTTATTCTCAAAAAAACTGGCCATGATTATTTTTGTAATATCTATATCGCAGATAAAGGTTTAAAAGTTTAAAAAAAAAATGTGTTTAAGTTAAATTGTATTTTTGAAAGAAACAAAGAAAGTCTTTGCAGTTAACAAACACTCATTGAAGGTGAAACACTGGGTAGAGGCCGTTCCACTGCAGCATATGGAGGTCCCCTCTTTGATTGGTAGACATCACTAATGGAAAAAAGTCCCCTCTTGGCAATTTCTTTAAAAAATAAAAAAACGACATTTGAAGTAACATTCTGGTAAAAAAAAACCTTAAAATAAAAAATTCTATGCTATTTTTGTTTTTTTAAAATAACCAGAAAACAGTCCCCTCTTGGATAGGTTAGTATGACAGTCCCCTGTTAGCAATATAGTAATATATATAGGTGTGTGTGTGTGTGTGTGTGTGTGTGTGTGTGTTTATAGTAATATATAGTGTGTGTGTGTGTGTGTGTGTGTGTGTTTATAGTAATATATAGTGTGTGTGTGTGTGTCTGTCTGTCTGTCTGTCTGTGTATTGATATTAATATATAGTGTGTGTGTCCGCAGGCCGTCAGAACCGGTGGAAGGACCTGGTTCTGGGTGTGTCCATCCTGATGGCGCTGGGCGGCTGCTGGTTCGCCTACGTTCAGACCAGGAAGTCCAGAGACGACCTGGGTCAGCTGATGAAGGACCTGGAGGGTCTGCAGAGGGCCGAGCAGAGTCTGATGGACCTGCAGGAGAAGTGAGTCCATCATCAATCACACCATCTCTGCACTCAATCTGACTCTTATTGATCCGTACTGATCAGAAGAGACCAATACTATTGATCATTACTGATCAATACTGACTAATACTGATCAATACTGACTCATACTGATCAATACAGACTCATACTGATCAATACTGACTCATACTGATCAATACAGACTCATACTGATCAATACTGACTCATACTGATCAATACAGACTCATACTGATCAATACTGACTCATACTGATCAATACAGACTCATACTGATCAATAGTGATCAATACTGACTAATACTGATCAATACAGACTCATACTGATCAATAGTGATCAATAGTGACCATCAGACTACTGTTACTATGAGTAATGCTGTAATGTGTTAATGCTAATGCTAACAGTACGATAACTGCTTAGTCTCCAGTTGTCCTTAGTGACGTGTAAATCTGTTGCTAGGAAACAGCTGTAGCCCTATCCAATCAGGAGCAACCAGCTATGTAAACAGGAAGTCACTGTAGCATTAGCAGCTATCTAGTTAGCATTATATATATATATATATTCATACACTTTATAATAAGAGGGGAATATCTGGTTATGCTAAGCTAACTGGTTTTATTTACTCATTGAGCTGCAGCCTGATAAAAGTAAACACTGACATTAGCATGATGCTAACTGCTGCAACCGGCTTCCACTAGTTTATATAAATTATAATTAAATATAAATTATAATTAAATATAATTAAATATAAATTATAATTAAATATAAATTATAATTAAATATAAATTATAATTAAATATAATTAAATATAAATTATAATTAAATATAAATTATAATTAAATATAATTAGCCTTCAGACTGTGAGTGAACTGCAGCCAGCAGGAAATAACTCACATAGTGTGTGTGTGTGTGTGTGTGTGTGTGTGTGTGTGTGTGAGAGAGTGTGTGTGTATGTGTGTGTGTGTGTGTGTGTGTGTGTGTGTGTGTGTGAGAGAGTGTGTGTGTGTGTGTGTGTGTGTGTGTGTGTGTGTGAGTGTGTGTGTGTGTGTGGACAGTCTGTGCAGAAGCTTTCTGTTTAAAGTCCTTATATGGTCAAAGAATATCCAGCAGCTCAGTCTGCACACACACACACACACACACACACACACACACATACACACTCTCTCACACACACACACTCACACACATATTGTAACATGTGTGTGTGTGTGTGTGTGTGTGTGTGTGTTGTAAGATGCTGTTTCACAGTTGTTCTGTTTCCTCCAACTACTGCTCATTACACTGTTACTATGGTAACTATCCCTACTGCTATCACTGTTGGTGCTTTATTACTATGTTTATTACTGCTGCTAATGCTAATAATGCTAATAATGCTAATAATGCTAAATACAGCTGCTCTGGATAGTGTCACTATATTCAAACAGGTGCTGATGAACAGAGGAGAGAGTACACACACTGCACACACTGTACACACACTGTACACACTGTACACACACTGTACACACTGTACACACACTGCACACACTGTACACACTGTACACACACTGCACACACTGTACACACACTGTACACACACTGTACACACACTGTACACACACAGATACACCTCTCCCTCAGACTGAGACACAGCACCCTCTGCTGGCACCAACATTTATTACAACACAGCATAATAATGGATATATAAACAGTAATAATGGATATATAAACAATAACGTTGTTGTTGTTGTTGTTGTCAGGCTGCAGAAGGCTCAGGAGGAGCAGCGCTGTGTTCAGGTGGAGAAGGTGAAGGTGGAGGAGCAGCTGAGGAGCGAGATCGACTCGGCCAAGCTGGAGGCTCAGCGGCTCCGAGAGCTCCGAGAGGGAACGGAGAACGAGAGGAGTCGGCAGAAATACGCCGAGGAGGAGCTGGAACAGGTCAGACTGGATGTTCACTGCAAACAGAGCAGCTACAGCACACCAGACTCCATTCATTAAACCACTGATTTTACCTCACAGGTAACTGTTAAACTGGACAGAAACAGAATCAAGCTCTTTAAAAGCGTCTCTGTTAGTGTTTCCAACAATCACCAACTCTGGTTTGGTGGAAATAAATCCTCAATTCACCGACGTATTCATGAAAAGAGCTGCAACGGTAGTGTAAGTTAGCGGTAACAGTAGTTGTTGTTTGTTCCACTAACAGTAGTTGTTGTTTGTTGTTTGTTCCACTAATAGCAGCTGTTGTTTGTTCCACTAACAGCAGTTGTTGTTTGTTCCACTGACAGCAGTTGTTGTTTGTTCCACTGACAGTAGTTGTTGTTTTTTGTTTGTTCCACTAACAGTAGTTGTTGTTTGTTCCACTAACAGTAGTTGTTGTTTGTTCCACTAACAGTAGTTGTTGTTTGTTCCACTGACAGCAGTTGTTGTTTGTTCCACTGACAGCAGTTGTTGTTTGTTCCACTAACAGTAGTTGTTGTTTGTTCCACTAACAGCAGTTGTTGTTTGTTCCACTGACAGCAGTTGTTGTTTGTTCCACTAACAGTAGTTGTTGTTTGTTCCACTGACAGTAGTTGTTGTTTGTTGTTTGTTCCACTAACAGCAGTTGTTGTTTGTTCCACTAACAGCAGTTGTTGTTTGTTCCACTAACAGTAGTTGTTGTTTGTTCCACTGACAGCAGTTGTTGTTTGTTCCACTAACAGTAGTTAGGGATAGAGCCAGCGATCGCTGGAGGTCCCTATTGTATTTGCTATGTTTCTTCTTATTATTATTTTTAGCGCCTTTGACTGCGTTTTTGCCCAAAGTTGTCAGGCCTGGTGAAAAATTTTATATTCTATGTGTCACTTTTGGGTCGGCCACTAGGTGGCGCTACTATAAGAAAAGTGCGTTGACATTTTCGTGTTCCTCCTACACGCTTTGTCCGATTCGCACAAAAATTTTCACCTAGCACCTGGGGACCGCCCTGGCAAAAAAAGTAATTTGAACATTTTTGAAATTCCAAAAAATAAGAACGCTATAAAATTAAGACTTCCTAAAGATTTTTCGTCAAAAAAGGAAGTGGACCATTTCTCCACATTGGTATGTCCGATTGACACCAAGCTTGGTCCATAGTTCCACATGTCTTCCTTAGGCATCGTGCACAATCTTGAACAATTTGAGGTTACCACCACTAGGTGGCGCTCTGGTGGTAGTGTAAATCACTCTGCAGAGACCGTAATAGTTATGAGTATGAAATTTACAGGGCACATGTAGAGTGGTGCCTGAAGCTCACATACCAAAAATTGTGTTTGTCATGTTTGTAGCGCCCCCTACAGGATTAAAAAAAAAAGCAGCCCCAGCGCCACGTTTCACCGATATGTATGAAACTAGTATAGTTACTATACTATATGTAAACTACTATATGTATGTAGGCACGTGTAACATGCCGGGACGTACAAAAAAGCCTCTTGGACCCATACCCGAAACCCCACGGGAAGTCGGCCATCTTGATTTTCATTGTCACTTTCGGCAAACTTTTCGCGTTGTATTTGAACATACTCCTCCTAGGGAATTTAACGGATCTACTTCAAAATTTGTCAGTAAAGTCAAAAAATGGTGCTGATTCTCAAAGTTGTGCTATTTGTTCTTGTACGTTGAAGGGCGTGTCCGTGGCGTTCGGTCAAAGTCAGCCGTTTTGAGTTCCGTGCTAATTTTTCTGTGAATTTTTGCCTTGTATTTGAACGAACTCCTCCTAAACACGTCTACATGACAATATTCAGACATAGTGATCGTGCTACCTACTGGCAACAGGAAGTAAGCGCTGCGTAGCGATTTTGAGCTGATTTACGTGAAATTGCGGCCGCAGCACGCCCCGAGTTGCGTGGAGTGCGAGGTCTCGCCCAACGCTGTTTGCAGCTTTAATTGTTGTTTGTTCCATGAACAGTAGTTGTTGTTTGTTCCACTAACAGTAGTAGTTTCTGCCACTGACAGACTCAGGTTGTTATTGTCAGTGTCTGACAGCATTATGGAAAGGATCCCTACAGAGATAGACCTTTAGTTTAACCACAAACAGCCGTAATATCACTATCACTCTCCACCAGACTCCAGAGACACAAACACTCATTTTACCTTCAGATCATCGTAACTTCACAGACAGCAGTCTGACAGACAGACAGTACTGACAGCAGTACAGACAGCGGTACAGACAGACAGACAGTATTGACAGCAGTACAGACAGCGGTACAGACAGACTGACAGACAGTATTGACAGCAGTACAGACAGCGGTACAGACAGACTGACAGACAGTACTGACAGCAGTACAGACAGCGGTACAGACTGACAGACAGTATTGACAGCAGTACAGACAGCGGTACAGACAGACTGACAGACAGTATTGACAGCAGTACAGACAGCGGTACAGACAGACTGACAGTACGTATTGTGTCGTAGTTCCGGACGGCGCTGAAGAAGGCGGAGAGGGAGTTGGAGTCGCGGCCGCTCTGGGCGCCACCGGAGGCTCTGCAGAAGTGGCTGCAGCTGACGCACGAGATCGAAGTTCAATATTACAACATCAAGAAACAGAGCGCAGAGAGACAGCTGCTGCAGGCCAGAGAGGGGGTGAGGACCACTTATTGATCACACTGATCAGGATGGTGATGATGATGATGATGATGATTATGATGGTGATGATGATGTCGGTGGTGTTTCAGGCAGAGAAGATCAAGAAGAAGAGGAGTTCTCTGTTCGGGACGTTTCATGTGGCTCACAGCTCCTCGCTGGACGACGTCGACCACAAGATCCTCTCTGCCAAGTGAGTGACCTTTGACCCCGAGCAAGCTGCTGGATCTGATGGCGTTTCAGCTCCTGCGCTGGTTGGATGTGTTTTTGGTTAGAAGTCTGAAATAAAGTGTGTTGTTACTAAATAAGCCCCGCCCCCTCAGACAGGCCCTGGCCGAGGTGACGGCGGCCCTGCGGGAGAAGCTCCACCGCTGGCAGCAGATCGAGTCTCTGACGGGTTTTTGTGTGGTCAACAACCCGGGTCTGGGAGCGCTGGCTGTCGCTCTCAACCTGGACCCGTCCTTCCTCGGCCTGCGACCTCCGACCCCTCAGCACCTCCTCCTCTCTGATGACCTCGACGACATGGACGAAGACATCCTGTCTCCTGGGACGCTGCAGTGTAAGTCTGTCTTCACCAGGAAGCAGTGAGCCACAGACAGGAAGTCAGATGGTACTGTGCACGTAAAATCTATGGAAGCTCATTTCAGCCAGTGGAATAAAAGAATAAGATAGAAGTCAAAATAATGACATAAGAAGTTTAAATTTAAAAGTTTTTATCTCAAAATTCTGGCCTTTTTTTAATTATGACCTTTTATAATCATGGAAATATTTTTTATTAGTTTTCATCTTATTTTTTATTTTGGCAGGAATGGGCTTCCATATAAACTCACAGAATTACTGTACAGATTAACTACAGATGCTCATGAGGGACAAACTGTAGACCTCTGTCAGCTCACCTGTGGTCCGCTCACTGTCTCCATCCCCTCCTCTGATTGGTCCTTTCTTCTGGGCATCTCTCTCTTGATTGGCTCCCTCCAGACGCAGCGTGGCAGATGGACCGGCGAGTGAGCGACCTCTGGCCCCTGAGTGGCATCGCAGACACCCAGGCACCATGGAAACACTCTGGTTGGCCCCTCCCTCCTACAGCCTCCCTCTCTCTGATTGGTTCATGCCTCTGTACGATCAGTGGGGATAACTGATCAATCAATAATCGTGTAATCCTTCAATCCTTCGTCAGGTTCCCACTGAGTGTCAGAAACATTAAATACGTTTTTTAATTGGAATAAAAACACCTAAAATCCTGATGAATCCAAAAATAAAACTCTAAATAAGTTTTATATAAGTATTATTTATCAAAATGTGAAAAAAGTAATATTCATACTACTAGATAATAATAATAATAATAATACTAATAATAATAGTATTTCTCGAGTTTTGTGCTAAAGGAATTCAAGGCCCAAATAAAGGCAGGTTGAGCTCAGTGATGAATAAAATCTTCTGCACATTAGTTTTAAAATAATTGTTTCATACATTTTTTTCAGATTTATTGAATTTGACTGAACAATTCGTAACAGATTAATCTGTTGGTAGTCGAATGTGGGAACCAACAGGCCAAATAAAAAGAGCTTTACACTTTCAAACGGAGGTATGAATCAACCAGAAGGCAGCGTTCATTGTGACAGAAAACCTGCGTAACAGATTTATATATATATATATATATATAAATATATAAATATACGTGTTAGCTGGCAGTGACTAAAAAGATAATTTTATTAGTTATCAAGCTAACGTTGCTGCAGTGATATGCAGAGTTATTCTTACAGAAAACATCTGATTCTCTCAAATTTTAAATCAAGTTTTATAATAATAATAATAATAATAATAATAATATAATTATAATAACAATTATAATAATCTGATAATAATTAAAGTATTTCTGTGCTGAATGTTTCCTATATAAATATAAACGTTTAATTGGGGTTTGTTCAAGCTAAGAAAGAACACCAGTCCTTCAATAAACGCCGTTTAAAGGATGAATATCAGTCTGATGTGTTCAGTGCCCAGCTGGACGCAGTTAGCCTAGCTTAGCATAAAGAGTGGAAGCAGAGAGAATCAGCTTGTCTGGTTCAACAATCGATTAACAATCATCTTTTCTGTTAAAAGCTGCACACAAACCGAAATGTAAAAACCAGTTTGTGGTTTTATTGGAACTATTTCTTTACAAACAACAGTGTATCCATCCGCCACGTGTGTCCGTTATTCGGAAACCCTGACAGTCCGACAAATGTCCGACTGGTCCGAAAACAGACACCCACGGCTCCGAAGGCTTCCTGACAATAATATCTTCCTGTATGTAAAGTCAGGTGACCTTCATCGTCATGGCAACAATAATGAACATGTGGTTAATGTTATGAAAGAGTTGCAGTTTGGCTAAAAACTAGTTGGCTATGTTTAAGAAAAGATCCCAGTTGGGGTTAAAATAAGTCCTTTAGTTACGTTTGTCAGCGTGTTGATACCAGATTCTGTATCTTCAGAGTTAATTTGGGTCTAATAGGACATTTTATTGGCGCCGTGTCTCAGGCTACGTCACAGGTTGCCAGATACGGTAACGAGACAAACCTGGCAATCTCACTGTGCTGACGAACACATACACTGTGCTTTTTACATTTCTGTTTGCATACGGATTAAAGGCATACTATGCAGTTTTCTGGTTTTGTCAAACAGCTACCCCTAGAGTCGCTGCGGAGTACTTGTTACTGTTGTAAATACCACTCACCAGAGCCGTCCCTATATACGGCTCAGCGTCTCTGCACTCACGGCCTGATCCCCCCCTGTATACCGGTACATGTTCAGGAGGATGGAAGCATCGGACATCGAACAGGCAAAGATTGATAGATTCACGTCTGAGTGAATGCCTGCTAGTGTCTTCCTTTGAGGCTGCTTCTTATGTCGCTGATGTATGTGACGCCACCTTCAGACTTGCATTGCTGGTTCTGCCAACGGCGTCCCTCTCCTGCTTCGCTATCAGGATGATTCGCTATACTACGAGTTCGTTTACAATCGAAATTACTTTGAAGCTGCTATATTAAGGTAAAACTCTTGCATAGTGTGCCTTTAATTGAGTAAACTCTCGAGGTTTCAAGGTCTCAGAGAGTCTCATCCCCCGCTCCCAGTCTTAATGCTAAGCTAGGCTAACTCCAGATAATCTCACTCTCAAAAAGAAAGAAAATATTCCTTTTAAATGTTTGATAGAAACTAAAAGCTATCAAACAGCAGGTTTCCGTGTGAACGCCTCCTCACCTTCCTCACCCTCCTCTTCCTCCCTCCGTCTGCTCAGATCAGACGAAGCTGTTTGGAGCCTTCTCCTCCTCTTCCTCCTCCTCTTCCTCACCCTTTCACCCTCTGAAGACCCGGATCACTCAACACTATACTAACCGTTTTCCCTCCTCTCCTCACTAACATCCACTTATAGGTCTGCAGCAGCTAAAACCACAAAGTCACAATTCAGATTCAGTCAGTTCAATGTTTTGTTTCCACTTTTTTATTAAGTTAACAATGCCACAAATACTTAATTGAAGGACGGCCCATTATTCCGAAATCCCAAAAGTCTGAAAGCCTATTTGTCCGAAAAACAGACGCTCATCGCTCCGAAGGCCTGTTTTACTAAGAATACTATTTTTTTGCCCTTAATACCATAAAACGTATTATTCATAATACCTGAATATATTAAATATTATTAGATATAAAGATGACGTCTCCACTTCCTCCCACTGTACAGATATATATTCTAACATCAGTTAACCCTTTAGGTGCCGGGTTTTATTTTGAAAAATACTAGATTTTGACATCTAAATTTCAGGAGGCTCTGGCTTGAAAGTGGTTTGAGATACAGACAAAGTGTAAATGAGACAAATATTGAGAATGACAAAGTTTATCTAGGGAGTCAATTTTTCCATCTAATTTGCATATTATGACGTCATATGGCGACGGCCATATTGGATTATATAATTTCCATGAAAAACCTGATATTTTGAAAGAGAGTTGAACTTATTTCATCAGATTCACCCCCTCCATCCATTTGTTATGTTGTCCACATATCAAATGAACAGGTAAAAGTAAATTGTAAGCCAACAGTCGTAAACTAGAACTATTGGAGGACACTTTTTCTTTTCTTTTTTATTCCCTTCTTCATAATTATTATTAATAATAATAATAATAATAATAATAATAATAATATCATTATAATATGATAATAATAATAACAGTAGGCGTCTTTTAGCTGCCGCGCATGGACGCACTGTGACCGGCGAGGTAGAAAGAGTGAACACTAACGCTGGTCCCGGCGCTATTCTCACCACCCGCGCTACTTCTATGTTGGGCAAAGGGTCGTGTGTTTGTGCTTGTGTGTCTTCCTTGCTCTGCCCGGCAGCGCCGGTGCAAAGATGCACCGTGACTATCACACTCACTAAACGACCAGCCATCATCTCCCAGAGGTAGATTTTCCCCTTCAGAATCAGGATCATAGGAGACCCATCACTTTCCTAAGCGTCAACTCTTTGCTTGCCATTTTCGTTTATTTCGTCTCAATAACTCCTAAATCCAGCAATACCACTTCAGCATAAATAGCGCCGTGGCACACTATTTCCGGTTTCTCACCCAACAGTTTGGACGGGACTTCCTCGAACATTTTGCATTGAAACATGACGTTTTTCTGAGCTAAGGTCTAAGTACGGGATGTCTGCCAACTAGTGGAGGGGAGTATGAACAAGATATAACACTCTATTAGGAGAAAACAGCTGTTTGATTCAGTACCGCGTCCTGTCGCAATTTTGCAACTTTGGCGCTTAAAGGGTTAAGTTACGTGCGTAAGTTGGTGATAGCAGTCTGTGTATTTTTGGGACAACAGGCCTTCGGGGCAGTGATGGGTTTTTGGAATTTGTCGGACAAAATAGGCTTTCGGTCCAATAAGACATTTTTCAGACTATTGAGGTTTTGGATCGATGGAATGGCACCGATCAGATCCCAGATCTGGATCTTGGATGTAAACGTTCTGAATGAACAATGTATAAGTTACAGTTTGAATTTAAATGTGAGAGTTTTTGTATTTTAGATACTGAGTTCCAACATTAATTTGACCTTTTTATCTGCTTTCAGCTTTGTTGTCCGTCGCACTCTTTACGCTGTTCACTTCTGGTTATTAAAATAAAACAACTTACTCAGTCTAACTCCTCCTCCCTCTCCTGCAGCTCAGAGTCTGATGCCCCTGCGACAGAGGATAGGAGACCCCGCTCTGGCTTTCAGCTCTCAGAGGTTGGTTGAAGGACGGGGCTTACCTCAGCAGGAAGGGCGTGGCCTGCTCACATCATCCCGCCCTCCCAGTGGCCGGCAGAGTCGCAGCCGCTCCATTGGCCAGCTGGAGTTCCTCCCCGTGCCCTCCCCCTCTCTCTCTTCCTCCCTGTCTCACCCCTCCATCGGCCCCGCCTCTCCTCCTGACCCCCCTGCCCTCTCACTCTGTCCTCCCCCCTCCGACTCCTCCTCCTCCTCTTCCTACGCTGAAGGCACCGCACATTTTTCCACTCTGCTCTTCCGTTCTTCGTACTTCCACTCTCTGGAGGCAGCGTCCAGCCTCCCGCCTGCAGGGGGCGCTGCGACAAGCCATAGACAGCGCTGTCGCTCCGGCAGCTTTGGGTATCTTCTTCTGCACGACCACTTTCTAACGACTCTGACGTACTAACGAGACTGAAAAAACTGAATCGGTGGACCTCGTCACCGAAACATTCGTACACAGATCTGATCTGAACTTTAAATTTATGAGAGGCCAGAATTAAGAGGCTGTTTAAGTTTTATAAGTGGGCAGAATTTGGGACTTTCCTAATTAAAGGGTTGAGAAATAAAAAAAAATGAAACAAGAAGAAAAAGTGATAAAAGAGAAATACATAGAAAAAATCCTATTTTTATCCCATAGTTTTTACTTTTTATCTCATACTACCACTGGTAAATTTGTTTTTTTATGCCAACGACTGATTGTCTTATCTGAACTTAAAACTAGTCCCTCTAGGATTTCACTGGATTTTTGGGGGATTGTTGCAACGTAAAATATTTTTTTTTAAATTGAAGACAACTTGTTACAGTGAGAATAAAATCTCTAATAGTTTGGTGACTCAATGTTTTGCACATGGATCTGCTATGATTGGTGAAGCTCGAAGAAAACTTATTCGTTCGACTAAATAGATCATTTTATTTCTAAAATATTCAAAGCAGAAGTCGGGATTAAACGCTTCCGAGTTTCATAAGTGATCATTTTGGATTTATGTGTTTACAGACCACTTATAAATTTGGGTATTTTCTACGCCGACGACTAATTGTCTTATCTGTTCTTATAACTAGTCCCTATAGATTACACAGGACTTTTTGTGGGGTCATTGCTGCCTAAAATTTCAGCTTTTCTAAAAACTTGCAACTCCTTTTGTGATGTTTTAAACATTTTCTTTTCTGTGAAATTGTGGGAGAAAGTAAACATTGCAAAATAGATGTTTTTTTCATGAATCAGACAAATTGTTTTCTTATTTTTTTCTGAAGAATTTGAGGAGAATAAGAAAACATTTGTGAATGAGGTCCAATGTACGCCACAGCTCTCAGTTAATCTCTTCCAACTCACCATTTCCCTTCCTAACTTTGTTGTATTTTATCTTTAACATAGTTTTAGTAACACCTTTATAGTTGGTCGTCACCTTCATATATGATATAAACAAATGTTATGATAGAACATGTGTCTATTTTATGATGATGCATTAACAGCTGGATGTGTTATTTATATAATAAGTCTGATAGTATTGAGTCTTATGAAGATGTTTATTAGCTCAGTAAATAGTCTCAATCTCTAGTTTCAAGTCTCTTTGCAGCCCTTGTAGCTGCCCCCTGCTGGCCTTTAGAAAGAATGCAGGTTTAAGACATTTCCACCTAGCTCTGTAGAGTAATAAAGAGCGACCGCCCTCTACTGGTAGAAACACAGCTTCTGCATTTGACTTTCTCCACTGGCTGATCTAGAGACAGGCAACAGGTTCTGAATGGAGTTTGGCTGATGCTCACTTATTTCAGAGTAAAATAAAACCAAATAATCAAGTAACAGACACATATTTTCCAACTTCCTCTCTTCTGTAGGTCTCTGTATAAATATGAAGTTGAGTGACAATAAATCCACTTTTTAATCCCAAACGTTTCACAGATAAACTGTGCAGGAAAGATTCAGACGTTCAGTTTTTGCAGCTCTGTTCATAAACATCCATGTTTAGCATGTTAGCAAGATTAGCTTCTGATTTGATTTTTGTCCCTTTGTCTTTCAGGGACATCATGAACCGCTCAGACTCTGACTCCGCCCTCCCTCTCTCTCACAGCGAATCACGAGGCTTGTACGGCTCCAAGCCCTACCTCCATTCATCCAGGCTCCACCCACTGCAGGGTCAGGGCTCTGGGCTCGGTGGAGGAGCAGGAGGAGGCCTGGAGAAGAGCTCCAGCCTCGGGGAGCTGAGGGGCAACCCCGTCACCTCCGCCCTCGCCTCCTCCTGCTCCACCCGTTCCCTCTGCATCACGTCCGACACCGCCGATGGACCGCTCGTCTTCTCGTCCTCTGCCTCGTCCAGCTCGTCCAGCAGTGGTCGCGGGACGGCCGTCCAGCACCTGACCAGGAGGAGTCCCGTGGAGCAGGATGGCGGAGAGGAGAGCGAGTCGTCCGGCAGCCGGAGGAGAAATGCTTTCAATAAGATCTTTAAGAAGAAGCAGGGACGCCACTGAACCGGAGTCTCAAAACTTACAAACCTGCTTCTGTCTCACCACGAGATCTTCATCGTGATGAACGAAACAGACGCTCACAGGGAACATCAGCTTTTAACGCTTCACTCGTCCGCCTTTTACTTCTCTCTGTTAAACTGAGGAAAGATTCAGACTGAAGACGACACAGCTTACAGCGGCACAAACCAACGAAGAAGACCAAGAGGAGGACTGAACAAGTTCATCTTCTTGAAGAGAAACTGACCCAACGTTTCTGAGACAAACGAGATGATCTTCTCGCTGGATGTAGATTTAGTAAAAATACGTTGTTTCAGCTTCTTAAAGTTTGACCATTTTTATGCCAAAGAGTTTTCTGTCTGTCTGTCGGGGTTGAAAACTCTCCAAAGACCAGATTTAAAACCTCACGTAGCTTCTTCCTCCTGTTGAAAGCTGCGAGCCAATCAGCCTGCAGCCTGTTTCAATGACACGTCGTCCAATAACTGAGCTACTGAAATACACAAAGACAACTTTCCCGCTCTGGTTCAGACCAAACTCCTCCCTGTGGACCACCCCAGGACAACAATATGTCCGATAGTGAATGGCTGTGTGTCGTGAGTTCAATATATGACTCCTGTCAATTTAAAAAATACTTTTAAGTCAAGAAAGTTTCTGATTGTCTGTGAACTGTAAGAAAATTACACATTTCTCTCTCCACAAGCTAACGTCAACCAGAGCCAAGGTTATTATTGTTCACTAAAACTAAAACTAGCTGAGAGAAAACAGTTGGTGTCGGTGTAAATGTTTAGAGACTGTGAGTTTATGTGTTTGTTCTGTTCTACCGATTGTGCAAACAAACAAACTGAAACTGAACTGAAGATAAAAATAAAAGTAACTGAACAATATAAAGCTATAATAACTGATGAACAGCTGATTAAACACATCCGGTGAGATAGCATAAAGGTGGCGACCATGTTGGTGCTAACCTGAATTTAAATGTTTCTGCGACAACTGCAACTGTCTTGTCTTGAAAAAAAACATTTACTTTTTCATTTTTGGCACAAAAACTGGATTCCAAAATCATTCGTCTCTCGTCTTTCTAACGTATAGTAGTTTGAATAAAGAACCTGGACATAGATTAGCTTAGCATATAGCATATCTAAGTACAGGAAAGGAGGAAGTAGACTGAGACTTGCTCTGATTGGACCCCCCCCGTCATATTGATACTCACATTCCTCGAAGCACTGGTCGAGGAGGTGGAGTAGCAGCCATATATGATTCGAGCGTTTTAATGGACCCTAAACCTAAACTAAATTATAATTCATTTGAAAGCCTTGTTCTTAGTCTTTCTCACCCAAACTGGAAAACACTGCAGCCAGTTCTATTTGTTATAGTGTACCGCGCTCCTGGACCGTACTCTGATTTTATATCTGAATTCTCAGAGTTTTTATTTTAGGCCTTAAATCAGATAAAGTAATTATTGTAGGTGATTTTAATATTCATGTGTATGTTAACAATGACAGCCTTAGTAACGCATTTATATCATTAATAGACTCAATTGGCTTCTGTCAGAGTGTAAATAAACCAACTCATTGTTTTAATCACACTCTTGACCTTGTTCTATCATATGGCATTGATATGGAACATTTAATAGTCTTCCCACATAATCCTTTCCTATCTGACCATTATTTAATAACTTTTGAATTCATACTATTAGATTATAAGCCATTAGGTAAAACTTCCTACAGCAGATGTCTATCTGACAGTGCTGTAGCTAAATTTAAGGAGGAGATTCCTTCAGTGTTTAATTCAATGCCATGTCTGAATTTAACAGAGTCCTATAACGACTTTAGTCCCTCTGAAATTGATAATCTTGTCGATAGTGCTGCAGGCTCACTACGAAGAACATTAGATTCTATCGCTCCTATAAAAAGGAAATTATTAAAACATAGGAGACTAGCACCTTGGTACAACCACCAAACCCGCCAGTTAAAGCAAAAAATCTGAAAGGAAATGGCAAATTATCAGAATATCGCTCAATTTGGCAAGATAATCTTAAAACCTATAGAAAGGCCCTCCGTAACACCAGCCTATTACTCAGCACTAATAGAAGAAAAATAAGAATAACCCTAGGTTCCTCTTCAGCACTGTAGCCAGGCTGACAGAGAGTCACAGCTCTATTGAGCCACATATCCCCATAACCTTAAGTAGAAACGACTTTATGATCTTCTTTTATAATAAAATTATTTCTATTAGAGAGAAAATTAATCACCAACTGCCATCAACAGTTATCAGTGGCTCTCCAAGTTCAGGAACTTTAACTAATGTAAACTCAGATATATATTTAGACTGTTTTTCTGCTATCGATCTTCACCAGTTAACTTCAATAATTTCTACATCGAAGTCATCTGTTGGACCCGATCCCAACTAGGCTTCTTAAAAAAGTCGTACCCTTAATTGGCACTTCTTTACTTGATATGATTAATCTTTCTTTATTATCAGGATATGTACCACAGTCCTTTAAAGTAGCTTTAATTAAACCCCTTCTTAAAAAGCCCACTCTTGACCCAGGGGTTTTAGCCAACTATAGACCGATCTTTAACCTCCCCTTCCTCTCTAAGATTCTGGAGAAAGTAGTCGCCAAAGAGTTGTGTGACTTTTTACATAACAATAGTTTATTTGAGGATTTGCATTCAGGATTTAGAGTTCATCACAGCACAGAGACAGCTCTGGTTAAAGTTAATAATAACCTTTTGATTGCTTCAGACAATGGACTTGTTTCTGAACTTGTATTATTAGATCTTAGTGCTGCATTTGACACCATTGACCATAATATTCTTTTACAGAGACTTGAGCATCAAATTGGCATTAAAGGAACCGCACTAAGCTGGTTTAGGTCATATTTATCAGATCGTTCGCAGTTTGTACATGTTAACGATGAATCTTCAATAAATACTACAGTTTGTCATGGAGTTCCACAAGGTTCTGTACTTGGACCAATACTATTTACTTTATATATGCTACCTTTAGGCAACATTATTAGGAATCACTCCATTAACTTTCACTGTTATGCAGATGATATGCAGTTATATCTATCAATCAAGCCCGATGAAATTAATCAATTATCTAAATTACAAACATGTCTTAAGGACATAAAATCCTGGATGAGCTGCAATTTTCTGATGTTAAACTCAGAAAAAAAAAACGAAATTCTTGTACTTGGCCCTAAAAATCTTAGAGACTCACTGTCTAAAGATATAGTTACTCTAGATGGCATTAACTTGGCCTCTAGCACCACTGTCAGGAATCTTGGAGTTATCTTTGATCAGGATTTGTCATCTAACTCCCACATAAAGCAAACCTCTAGAACTGCCTTCTTTTATTTACGTAATATTAGAAAAATTAGACACATACTATCACAGACAGATGCAGAAAAACTAATTCATGCATTTGTTACTTCAAGGCTGGATTACTGCAACTCTTTATTATCAGGTTGCCCCAATAAGTCCATTAAGACGCTCCAATTAATTCAAAACACTGCAGCACGAGTACTGACAGGAACTAGAAAAAGAGATCACATCTCTCCTGTACTAGCTTCTCTGCACTGGCTCCCTGTAAAATGTAGAATAGAATTTAAAATCCTCCTCCTCACCTACAAAGCTCTTCATGGTCAGGCCCCTTCATATCTTAAAGAGCTCATAGTACCCTATTACCCCACTAGAACACTACGTTCTCTGAATGCTGGGCTACTTGTGGTTCCTATAGTCTCTAAAAGTAGAACAGGAGCCAGAGCCTTCAGTTACCAAGCTCCTCTCCTGTGGAACCAGTTTCCAGTTGTGGTTGTGGAGGCAGACACCCTCTCCACATTCAAGAATAGGCTTAAGACATTCCTCTTTGATAAAGCTTATAGTTAGGGCTGGATCAGGTGAGTCCTGAACCATCCCTTAGTTTTGCTGCTATAGGCCTAGACTATCGGGGGATTTCCCATGCCATGGTGCACTGAGCTCCTCTCTTCCTCTCTCTTTCTGCACTCATTCATGTCCCATTAATGCATGTTACTCACTTCACTTCTTCCTCAGAGTTCTTGTGCTTTCTCGTCTCGCAGGATCTTATCAATCCTGGTGGAGCCTCCTGCCATGGTCATGCTAGATTGCCATTGCCAATACTGTTGTTGCTGTGCACCTGTCTGTCTGTCTCTCGCTCTCTCTCTCTCTCTCTCTCTCTCTCTCTCTCTCTCTCTCTCTCTCTCTCTCTCTCTCTCACCCCAACTGGTCGAGACAGACAACCACCCACCTAGGGCCGAAGGATTCAGTTCAATTCAATTCAATTCAATTCAATTCTGTCCTAGGTTTTTCCTTGCCCTTGTCGCCAAGGTCTTGCTCATGGTGGTACTGTTGGGTCTCTGTAAATAATGTTATAAAGAGTTCGGTCTAGACCTGCTCTATTTGAAAAGTGTCCTGAGATAACTTCTGTTATGAATTGGCGCTATACAAATAAAATTTAATTGAATTCAATTCAATTCAATTCAATTGAAGGGTTTGTAGTAGAAGCTGGTAGTTAGCGGGAAGTGTTTTACTGTGACTGTAGTTTCTTTCTGTCCGCGCAGTAAAAGAAGATAATTGTGGGAATTAGCTGTGTGGTGTTAGAGTTGAATTTAAAGTTTTAACCGTCACACGGCCGACAACTGTCTCGAGTTGTCTGATGACAACTGAACGCATCACGAATGCTTCAAAATTAGACGATCCAAAGCTGTGCTTCAGGCGGTGCGTTCAGGCGCTCATTGTTCAAACGTAAAGTCAACAATTTCCAAGTTTCCCTTAAAAAGAAACTGAGGATGTTAAACTGGGATCAGTTCAATCACCTGAATGCCGTTGAGCAGGTGACCGGTGTGCAGTGCATTGTGGGAAACTGAACCTTCGAAACAGACAGTGTGTGTCAGGTGCGTGATGGGAACTCACATATTGTTGTGTAAGTGCCTTTTTGTTACATATTGTACATATCAGAGTACATTATGGGATTATTGTTGTTCTGCAGTCTGCGAGTGTGATCAGATCAATAACCTCCTTTATGGTTTAAAGGATCATTTTAGACTGTTGTATTTTGTGTTGCAACGATTAGTCGATCAATGAGTCGATTGGAAGAAAATTAATCGTCCAAACAATTCTCTGATTCTGGTTTTATTGTTATAAACTGAAAATAAACTGTTAAATAAAGACGATGTTGGAAGAACAACTTCTGGCTGCCGGAGACATTTTCACTGTTTTTTGATATTTCACAGATAAAATAATAAATTGATTATAGAAGCTAATTTCTGCCAATGTGAAAAAAAAGTAATAATATATAATAAAAACAATAGAACGAGAATATTCCATAACAAAGTATATTAATAAGATTTAGACGTTGCTTTTTATTTCTAAATAAATAAACACACTCACACAGACCAGCTACACTATTAGATGTGTAATGTTAATGTATTAGTTAACTGACAGTATGTTGTATAATGATGGAAGTTGAATAAATGTTGTTTATCAGTGTATAAGCATTGGTAAACTGTCCAAATACAGTTATCAGTGTAAACAGCAATAATTACTGTAATCTTACAGATAATGACTTTTATTACACTTCTATAACTTTTAATATTCACAATAAAATAATAACAATCCAATAATAACAGCACTTTGCTGTAGATGTAAGTCTGATTATTTGTATTATAGTAGAGTTCACCTGGATTTATAGCTAATTTCTTCTTTAATGTTTATCTTTAATTAAATATTAATAATGAAAACTATATTTTATTTATAGAAAACTGTATTGAGTCAGTTATTTTCAGTTTTACTGTATTTCTGGAATATTACAGTTTATTACTGTTTTTTTACAGTGTAAAGTTGACTTTATTTCTATAGAAGGTCTCATACGACAGCTGTAGACTCAATGTGCTTCATACACCACAAACACAGATAAGAATGTATCACAGTTATTATAAATGATTATAAAGGTTCTTGAAATGACTCAGTTTCTTACTGTATTACCCCGGGGGTCAGCAGCCATTACCATAAAAAGACACATTTTTGGCCAAAAACAAAAGAAAAACACTAAAAATATTACAATTAGTAAGTATTTTTTAAATACTTAATATGTTTGATGTAATCTGTTCCAACAATATGTTTGAATTCAAATAACTTCTGTCATTACAGGGTAGGATCCCTTTAATATGCACACCCAAGTATTGGAGCAGAGTTTTAATGGGGATACCATGTGCTGCCACTAGATGGCACTCACGTGAAACTAATAATTCACTTTTTCAGCTTCAGTTTGGAAAATAAATCAATAATCTGAACAGCTTTCGGAATTTGCTCAACATTTTTCAGAAACAACGTTGTGTCATCTGCCAGCTGACTATTTGCTTCTCAAAAACACTCAATTGCTCAATATCAGATTTATTTTTCCATTTCATAATTCTCTCTTTATTGTTTGAATTTGACAGTCATTAAAACATTGACACAATCCATTGGCCCATCCCTCCAGCACAACAAACACACACATATTCAGCTCCCTCTCAGACTCTCATTAAAATCAACAATCAATCACAGCCTCACTTCATACACAAATGTATATATCTATAGCAATAACTGCCCCTCTATTGTTTGTATATTGGGAACAAGTTTGCCCCACATCCTGTCACATTTCATTGGTTTCCCTTTAACATTGTACAGGATTGTTTCTGGGGGGCAATATGACAATAGTTAATGTACATTTTGTTGCTGCTGTCATTATTAATCATATTAGTTTCTTCTCCTCATTATTAATCTCTTTGAGCATTTCTGCTTCACCCAGAATAGATATTGGGGGGGTCCAGTGTAATTACTGTCTGCAGTATTTCTGATATATGTTTATAACGGTTGTTCCAAAAAACTTCAATCTGTACATTTCCAAAACATGAGCACAAGGTCTGCATTATCTGAGTTACAACACATCTGGTTACTCATCTGGTTACAATATGTGAACTTTTGATAAGAACTGAGAGCCTTTCCGCTGCCACTAAGAAGAGTGATGGTGAAATTGGACAGCCTTGTTTTCTACCTCTGTTCACTGTAAAACGAGGGGAAGAACCACCTGATAAAGATATTGAGCTGTTGCTGTCGTGATAAAAGCATTTCATTACGTTTCTGAAATTCTCTCTAAAGCCACTCAGTTCCAAAGATCTGTTCTACCACGTCAACAGCTTTATACAAATACAGACAAAGAATAAAGCCATCATCATTGATATAATCACTGTATTCAAGCAGGTCTAGGACTCGGTGCTCGTTGTTATACATTGGTCAACCTCTCATAAATCTTCTCGTCTCCAACTTGTGCAGAACGCTGCTGCCCGATTTTTAACAAGCAGGTCCAGACGCGAACACATTACCCCTGTGCTGTCGTCACTCCACTAGCTTCCAGTCCATTTTAGAATTGATTTTCAACTTCTGTTGTTTGTTTTTAATGCCATTAATGGCTTGGCCCCCTCTTACTTGTTAGAGATTTTAACTTTTCGCAATTGTGACAGAGCCCTGCGCTCTTCGGGTCAGCTTCTGTTAGAGGTCCCTAAGTCGAGACTTAAACAGTGGGGTGATCGTTCTTTTGCCATCGCTGCTCCCAGACTGTGGAACAAACTGCCCCATGACATTCGCACCACTACTGATCTCAGCCTTTTTAAATTGAAGCTTAAGACCCACTTTTTTAGATTAGCATTCAATTCTGACTAGGGCAGTACTGTCTCCTAGGTGTACTCTTTCTGTCTGCTCTTTTCTATGCATTTCTGGAAGGCTTTTAATACCCTGCAGCGCCGCAGCACTTTTAATTGTATTTGTATGTTATGTATATGTTATGTATTGTTTTATGGCTTTGTTGTAAAGCACTTTGGGTACCTTTCGGCTATTGTAAAGGGCTATACAAATAAACTTGATTTGATTTGATAAATCCTGACTGGGTGTCACTGAGGGTTTGGGAGATTCCTTCTTTGAGACAATTTGAAGATATGAGAGTCAGTATTTAGTAATCATTGTTGAGGAGCTTCCGCTATATACACGTGTACATTGGACACTGTTTCTGCTGCTGTCAGTGTCTCTGTACTCGTCCCTCACACATACACATTTAATAAAAGATCATTTTACTATTCAGAGACTTTTACCTTTAAAACATGATGAATATGGGCGCCCAGTTATCTCAGTTGGTAGAGCTGGTGACCCATATACGGAGTTGCTGCAGCGGCACAGGTTCAAATCTGACCTGCGGCCCTTTGCTGCGTGTCATCCTCTCTCTCCACCCACCTTTCCTGTCTCTCTACAGCTGTCACTATCAATAGAGCCAACAAAAGGCCAAATAAATAACTTTGAAACAAACATGATGAATATAATCATCCTCTTTATCTCTAACTGCTCTGTTCCACTGTCACACTGACCTTCACTTTATTCACAGTGTTAATGTATGGAAACATCCTCTCAGTGAAAGTGTGTGTGATGGTGTGTATGTGTGTGTTAGTATCAGGATCAGAGAACGACAGCTTTCCTCTGTTCCAGTCCAGATTCACTCTGATCCTCTGGACCTTCTTCTGAACTACGAGACCAGTGGATGGAGCTGGTGGTGACCGTGCTGAGTATTTACCTTTATAGAACTGTATTCTCCATAATCCAGACTCTATGATTCCCTTCCTCTGGACAGACTCTGCAAACACACCGAGTAACCAGACTGTACTGTATCCAACCTCGACATCCCAGCTGTGAGTCCCTGAGTTAAAGCCCTTAGAGCCCAGAACAGAGCCGTAATAATCAAACCTCTCTGGATTATCAGGAAGCTGCTGTTCCTCTCCTGCTCTCACACTGGTCAGATCTTCAGACAGGACGAGTTCTGGATGAGCAGTGTTTGGATCCAGAATCACAGGAGTGTAGGAGACCATGTCCTTCATCTTGTTCCAGATGTTGAAGGTCAGGTTGCCCAGGTGTTTGGCCTCGTCTATCAGAGCTCCTGAGGGCAGCTGTGGATCCTCCAGCAGGGGGCGCTGCTGGACTCTTTCCACTGCAGCCTTGTAGTTGTTCAGGAATGAGACGTCTTCAGCTCTCAGCTCCTCCTCTGTGGCTCTGACTGTGTCTGAAAGAGCTGCTATCTCTCTGCTCAGGGCCTCCATCTTCTCCTTCATTATCTGACTCTTCTGCTCCTCTTCCTCCCTCAGTGCAGCCAGCCTGGCCTCCTCTTCCTCTTCTAGAAACTGGTGAAGCTTCTTAAACTGCTCCTTAATCAGCCTCTCTGTGTGTCGGGCCTGGACCTTCATGTGTTCTGCTGTTTGATCAAACTTCACTTTAACTCCTTCACAAACCTTTAACTTCTCCTTTAAAGGCTCCAGAGATTTCTGGAGCTTCTTTTTGTGATCCTGTGCAGCTTCATCAATGGGTCTGAATCTGTGGTTGGTGTGTTTTTTTGAATCTCTGCAGACAACACACACTGGTTGCTGATGGTCCAGACAGAAGAGTTTGAGTTTCTCAGAGTGCAGACTGCAGAGAGCCTCTGAAGATCTCTGATCTCTCTCCTGTAAGAAACTCTCACACAGGTTCTTTAAAGTCAGGCTTAAAAGTGGTTGATTCTTTGAAGATCTTTTACAAACTGGACAGTCACGTGTCTGTTTCTCCTTCCACCAGCTCTTCAGACAGTCTTTACAGAAGCTGTGGCTGCATGACAGAACAACAGGATCTCTAAAGACCTCATGACAGACCGGACAGCAGAGACCCTCCTCTAATCTGGAAGCCATTTGTCTCTGAGTGCAGCTGGAAACAGCAGACAACACGTTAAAGAGGTTGGTCAGTTATGGTTCCCGCCCTGCCGTAAAAAGTTGCCTCAGTTACTTTCACTTTGAGTCTTTGAGAGTTTTTTCATTCAGCAGCAGGTTGAAGTCCTTCAGAGTACTTCAGAATTCTTCAGTCCTCCGTCCTGTAACTGTCCTCCCTCAGTTAAAGTCACAGCTGTGTAATGAAGGTAAATCTTACCGTCTGTCTCTCCAACTGTGTGTCTCTCCTCAGTGAGAACTGAACAGGAACAACCTGTTTCCTGGTTGGTCTCAGGTGATGTCTTTAAGGGGCGGAGCTTTGTCAGCTGACTGCTGTGTCTCATTTTAAAGGGAAATATGATCCATCACACTGCTCTGAGATCACATCACAAAGAAAACAACCAGAGCAAATTCACTTTCACTCATATTTCTGTGACTTTTTTTACTTTGGTTTAAATCCTGTTACAGAAAAATTTATGAGAAAGTCAAAAACAATCAGTGAACTCAATAAAGTCAAAGTTAGATTAATATAAAATGAGATAAATTTTATTGATCCCTCACTCAGGAAGGAACACAGAAATAAACATTAAATAATAAAATAAAATAGAATTAAGGTTGTATGTTCACTTTAAAAAGCTTTTTATACAAAGGGAATTAAGTCAAAATAATTATTGATTATATTATATTAGTTATTACAACAGGAGGTAGTGACATGGTGAATGAATATATATTTATATATTTATATTTATAGAGGAGCAAGTTAGCAAATCTTAGAATATTTCACTAATATCTTTCTGTATAGTAATAAAGTTTTATTTTTGCTTTTTGCACTGTTATCTGTTAGCTGTTAGCACTGTTAGCACTGTTAGCTGTTAATTCAATTCAATTCAATTCAATTTTATTTGTATAGCGCCAATTCATAACAGAAGTTATCTCAGGACCAAACAGTACCACCATGAGCAAGACCTTGGAGACAAGGGCAAGGAAAAACTGCCTGTTAAAAGGCAGAAACCTAGGACAGATCCTCCGGCTCTAGGTGGGTGGTCGTCTCGACCAGTTGGGGTGAGAGAGAGAGAGAGAGAGAGAGACAGAGAGAGAGAGAGAGAGACAGACCGACAGGTGCACAGCAACAACAGTATTGGCAATGGCAGTCAAGCAGGACCATGGCAGGAGGCTCCACCAGGATTGATAAGAACCTGCGAGACGAGAAAGCACAAGAACTCCGGGGAAGAAGTGAAGTTAGTAACATGCATTAATGGAACATGAATGAGTGCAGAAAGAGAGAGGAAGAGAGGAGCTCAGTGCACCATGGGAAATCCCCGATAGTCTAGGCCTATAGCAGCATAACTAAGGGATGGTTCAGGACTCACCTGATCCAGCCCTAACTATAAGCTTTATCAAAGAGGAATGTCTTAAGTCTACTCTTGAATGTGGTGAGGGTGTCTGCCTCCCGAACCACAACTGGAAGCTGGTAAGGAGAGGAGCTTGGTAACTGAAGGCTCTGGCTCCTGTTCTACTTTTAGAGACTATAGGAACCACAAGTAGCCCAGCATTCAGAGAACGTAGTGTTCTAGAGGGGTAATAGGGTACTATGAGCTCTTTAAGATATGAAGGGGCCTGACCATGAAGAGCTTTATAGGTGAGGAGGAGGATTTTAAATTCTATTCTACATTTTATAGGGAGCCAATGCAGAGAAGCTAGTACAGGAGAGATGTGATCTTTTTCTAGTTCCTGTCAGTACTCGTGCTGCAGCGTTCTGAATTAATTGGAGCGTCTTAATGGACTTATTGGGGCAACCTGATAATAAAGAGTTGCAGTAATCCAGCCTTGAAGTAACAAATGCATGGATTAGTTTTTCTGCATCAGTCTGTGATAGTATGTGTCTAATTTTTCTAATATTACGTAAATGAAAGAAGGCAGTCCTAGAGGTCTGCTTTATGTGGGAGTTAAATGACAAATCCTGATCAAAGATAACTCCAAGATTCCTGACAGTGGTGCTAGAGGCCAAGGTAATGCCATCTAGAGTGACTATATCTTTAGACAGTGAGTCTCTAAGATTTTTGGGGCCAAGAACAAGAATTTCGTTTTTTTCTAAGTTTAACATCAGAAAATTGCAGCTCATCCAGGATTTTATGTCCTTAAGACATGTTTGTAATTTAGATAATTGATTAATTTCATCGGGCTTGATCGATAGATATAACTGCGTATCATCTGCATAACAGTGAAAGTTAATGGAGTGATTCCTAATAATGTTGCCTAAAGGAAGCATATATAAAGTAAATAGAAGTGGTCCAAGTACAGAACCTTGTGGAACTCCATGACTAACCATAGTATTTAGTGAAGATTCATTGTTAACATGTACAAACTGCGAGCGATCTGATAAATATGACTTAAACCAGCTTAGTGCGGTTCCTTTAATGCCAATTTGATGCTCAAGTCTCTGTAAAAGAATATTATGGTCAATGGTGTCAAATGCAGCACTAAGATCTAATAATACAAGTACAGAGACAAGTTCATTGTCTGAAGCAATCAAAAGGTCGTTATTAACTTTAACCAGAGCTGTCTCTGTGCTGTGATGAACTCTAAATCCTGACTGAAAATCCTCAAATAAACTATTGTTATGTAGAAAGTCACACAACTCTTTGGCGACTACTTTCTCCAGAACTTAGAGAGGAAGGGGAGGTTAGAGATTGGTCTATAGTTAGCTAAAACCCCTGGGTCAAGAGTGGGCTTTTTAAGAAGGGGTTTAATTACAGCTACTTTAAAGGACTGTGGTACATATCCTGATAATAAAGAAAGATTAATCATATCCAGTAAAGAAGTGCCAATTAAGGGTACAACTTCTTTAAGCAGCCTAGTTGGGATCGGGTCTAATAGACAGGTTGATGGCTTCGATGAAGAAATGATTGAAGTTAACTGATGAAGATCGATAGCAGAAAAACAGTCTAAATATATATCTGAGTTTACATTAGTTAAAGTTCCTGAACTTGGAGAGCCACTGATACCTGTTGATGGCAGTTGGTGATTAATTTTCTCTCTAATAGTAATAATTTTATTATAGAAGAAGCTCATGAAGTCATTGCTACTTAGGTTTATGGGGATATGTGGCTCAATAGAGTTGTGGACTCTCTGTCAGCCTGGCTACAGTGCTGAAGAGGAACCTAGGGTTGTTCTTATTTTCTTCTATTAGTGCTGAGTAATAGGCTCCTCTGGCATTACGGAGGGCCTTTCTATAAGTTTTAAGATTATCTTGCCAAATTGAGCGATATTCTGATAATTTGGAAGAGCGCCATTTCCTTTCAGATTTCCTAGCTATTTGTTTTAACTGGCGGGTTTGGTGGTTATACCAAGGTGCTAGTCTCCTATGTTTTAATAATTTCCTTTTTATAGGAGTGATAGAGTCTAATGTTGATCGTAGTGAGCCTGTAGCACTATCGACAAGATTATCAATTTCAGAGGGACTAAAGTCGTTATAGGACTCTGTTAAATTCAGACATGGCATTGAATTAAACACTGAAGGAATCTCCTCCTTAAATTTAGCTACAGCACTGTCAGATAGACATCTGCTGTAGGAAGTTTTGCCTAATGGCTTATAATCTAATAGTATGAATTCAAAAGTTATTAAATAATGGTCAGATAGGAAAGGATTATGTGGGAAGACTATTAAATGTTCAATATCAATGCCATATGATAAAACAAGGTCAAGAGTGTGATTAAAACAATGAGTTGGTTTATTTACACTCTGACAGAAGCCAATTGAGTCTATTAATGATATAAATGCATTACTAAGGCAGTCATTGTCAACATCCACATGAATGAATCCACATGTTAGCACTGTTAGCATTGTTATCTATTAGCTGTTAGCTATTAGCACTGTTAGCATTGTTATCTATTAGCTGTTAGCACTGTTAGCACTGTTAGCACTGTTGGACAGATGGAGCCTTTTTGAAACTGCCCAGTGCAACCACAGTCTGACCGGCTGCCACTGAGCAGCTTAGAGGAATTGCTCAAGGGCTCCTCGGTGGTGGTAAAGATTTATCCTGCTCGTCCAGGGATTGAACCAACAACCTCCACCATCACTGATCACGATGAATTCAATTCAATTCAATTCAATTTTATTTGTATAGCGCCAATTCATAACAGAAGTTATCTCAGGACACTTTTCAAATAGAGCAGGTCTAGACCGAACTCCTCAACATTAATTACAGAGACCCAACAGTACCACCATGAGCAAGACCTTGGAGACAAGGGCAAGGAAAAACTGCCTGTTAAAAGGCAGAAACCTAGGGACAGATCCTCCGGCTCTAGGTGGGTGGTCGTCTGTCTCGACCAGTTGGGGTGAGAGAGAGAGAGAGAGAGAGAGAGAGAGAGAGAGAGAGAGAGAGAGAGAGAGAGCGACAGACAGAGAGACGCACAGCAACAACAGTATTGGCAATGGCAGTCAAGCAGGACCATGGCAGGAGGCTCCACCAGGATCCATGAGAACCTGCGAGACGAGAAAGCACAAGAACTCCGGGGAAGAAGTGGAGTTAGTAACATGCATTAATGGGACATGAATGAGTGCAGAAAGAGAGAGGAAGAGAGTAGCTCAGTGCACCATGGGAAATCCCCCGATAGTCTAGGCCTATAGCAGCATAACTAAGGGATGGTTCAGGACTCACCTGATCCAGCCCTAACTATAAGCTTTATCAAGAGGAATGTCTTAAGCCTACTCTTGAATGTGGAGAGGGTGTCTGCCTCCCGAACCACAACTGGAAGCTGGTTCCACAGGGAGGAGCTTGGTAACTGAAGGCTCTGGCTCCTGTTCTACTTTTAGAGACTATAGGAACCACAAGTAGCCCAGCATTCAGAGAACGTAGTGTTCTAGTGGGGTAATAGGGTACTATGAGCTCTTTAAGATATGAAGGGGCCTGACCATGAAGAGCTTTATAGGTGAGGAGGAGGATTTTAAATTCAATTCTACATTTTATAGGGAGCCAATGCAGAGTAGCTAGTACAGGAGAGATGTGATCTCTTTTTCTAGTTCCTGTCAGTACTCGTGCTGCAGCGTTCTGAATTAATTGGAGCGTTTTAATGGACTTATTGGGGCAACCTGATAATAAAGAGTTGCAGTAATCCAGCCTTGAAGTAACAAATGCATGGATTAGTTTTTCTGCATCTGTCTGTGATAGTATGTGTCTAATTTTTCTAATATTACGTAATGAAAGAAGGCAGTCCTAGAGGTCTGCTTTATGTGGGAGTTAAATGACAAATCCTGATCAAAGATAACTCCAAGATTCCTGACAGTGGTGCTAGAGGCCAAGTTAATGCCATCTAGAGTGACTATATCTTTAGACAGTGAGTCTCTAAGGTTTTTGGGGCCAAGAACAAGAATTTCGTTTTTTCTGAGTTTAACATCATAAAATTGCAGGTCATCCAGGATTTTATGTCCTTAAGACATGTTTGTAATTTAGATAATTGATTAATTTCATTGGGTTTGATTGATAGATATAACTGCGTATCATCTGCATAACAGTGAAAGTTAATGGAGTGATTCCTAATAATGTTGCCTAAAGGGAGCATATATAAAGTAAATAGTATTGGTCCAAGTACAGAACCTTGTGGAACTCCATGACTAACTTTAGTATTTATGGAGGATTCATTGTTAACATGTACAAACTGAGAACGATCTGATAAGTATGACTTAAACCAGGTTAGGGCAGTTCCTTTAATGCCAATTTGATGCTCAAGTCTCTGTAAAGAATATTATGGTCAATGGTGTCAAATGCAGCACTAAGATCTAATAATACAAGTACAGAGACAAGTCCATTGTCAGAAGCAGTCAGAAGGTCATTATTCAGCATCCTCAGTCAGTCCTTCCGCCTGCAGCAGCACCGATATTCCAGTGAACAGCCAGGAGGTTGTCGGTTCCATCCCCAGGATAAATCTGGGTGGGGAAAGATCTTCATTACCGACACCAGAGAGTTAGCATGTCAGAGCCACTAGCTTTGCTAACGTTAGCTATTGTATTTCTGTGGTCAGTGTTACCGCCCGGGTCTCACTTTTAAATACATCGACATGTAAAATAACATGAAATAACCGTAAACCATCAAAATTACTTGTTTTTAAAGAAAAGTTCAATTTAATGAATTAAACTGTTGAATTCAAGTTTAATACTGTTAATACAATTATAAACTGATATAAAATTAGTGACATTAACAGTAAAAAGTATTAGTTGTATAACTTTAATGTATTAGTTAGTTAACTGACAGATATGTTGTATAATGATGGAAGTTGAATAAATGTTGTTTATCAGTGTATAAGGTAAACTGTCCAAATACAGTTGTTATCAGTGTAAACAGCAATAATTACTGTAATCTCACAGATAATGACTTTTATTACACTTCTATAACTTTTAACATTCACATTAAAATAATAACAATCCAATAATAACAGCACTCTGCTGTAAATGTAAGTCTGATTATTGTATTATAGCAGAGTTCACCTGGATTTATTGATCATTGTTTTATGAGTCAGTTATTTTTGCCTCAGAAACATTTTATTGAAACTCTTGTGTAACACAGACAAACAATGTTTTGTAATTTAGGAACCAGGTGTGTCCTGAAGATCTCTTTTTCCAAATGATGTAGGCGGCGACGGCCACTGAGCTTCACCTGTGCGTCAGCCATCTTGGATTTTTTTACAGTTTATGTGAGGAAACCATGAATATATTTTTACTGTCCAAGTTTAACAGTCTTTCAGGTTTAACATCTGTTTCAGTCCAGTTCTCCAGCCAACTGTTCAACAAGTTACAGAATATAACCATTGTTTATTTCCTCGTCCTCACAGGAACTTTTAAAGAACAGCAGCAAAGACATGAAAACTTTCACATTTTATCTTGAAATTATAGTCTGAAATGTTTCTTTTATTTGAATGAATCAGATGAAAGAGACAAATTAAAGTTCTGACCAGATTCATCCTTCAGTCTGAACTGTTGACTGTAGGCGGTGCATTCACTGACCAGCAGGTGGCAGCACAGAGCCACACAGCAGCCGACTGGAGGAAATCTTCATCTCTGTTTAGGGTCAGATTCAGTTGTTCTTTAAAAGAACTGAAAATGTTCAACTTTAACACGGTCAGTAGCTCCTCCTCAGAGAACCATATCCCGTTCTGCAAACATCATCCATTCATCCATTCATCCATTCATTCATTCATTCATTCATCTGATTTATTCAGTTCACAGTGATTCAATAAAAACACCTCAGATTAAATTCATAAACCTTCAAACTTAATATTTAACATTTAATAAAACAAATCAGCTCATCAGTACCATCAGTGTATGTGTGTTTGTGTGTGTGTGTGTGTGTGTGTGTGTGTGTGTGTGTGTGTGTGTGTGTGTGTCTCAACCACAGCAACATGAACTCTGATCATTAACTGGTTGAACTAGAACAGATTAATCCATTTCCAGGTGGAAACATGCTGAAAGCTCATAATTCAATTCAATTCAATTCAATTCAATTTTATTTGTATAGCGCCAATTCATAACAGAAGTTATCTCAGGACACTTTTCAAATAGAGCAGGTCTAGACCGAACTCCTTATAACATTATTTACAGAGACCCAACAGTTTTTCTCAGAGGCGTCTGAAACAAACTGAAGATGTGATTTATTAAATTAAGACCTTTGGTCAAATATAAAAGAATCAGCAGAAAGTTTTAATATTTCACTGACAGAAGCTGGAACGTCTTTCTGGTCGCATTAATTTCACCTTATAAGGTTTCCTCCTTAATATCGAAGCTGCTCTTCCTGCCTTCACTCCTCCCCTTAAACCACGTCCTGTCACAGACCGCCAGCAGTGATTGGTCCCGAGATAAACGACTTCATCACTGTGATATTAACAGGAAACGTTGTAACAATCTCTACAAGCTGCCAGCGAGAGGAAACTCCCCCATTCAAAACCTCATTGAAATATCAGTCGTTTTAGCGGCAGCATGTTCCTCTGTGCTCCAGCCCACAGATCCACCAGAACCACAGTTTCACATTGAGTTCTTATGCAACCAGAATGTCGATGACTCAAAGAGAAGTGAAGAAACACAAAAGCAGAAACGAACTTTCTCCACTCAAGTGACTCAACTTCCTTTCAGAGCGCAGGAGACATCCTGCAGAGCAACGGAGGGCTGCAGGTTCCTCTTCATAGCACACACACACACACACACACACACACACACACACACACACACACACACACAAAATAACAGAAACACCTGAGCTGTGTGATAAAGGCTCAGTAGGACGATCAGGTGAACTACAATCAGGTTTACTAAATGTTGTTTTGCTTTATTTCTGTATATGCTTTATTTCTAAATGCTGTTAAACAGTCTGCTGTATAAGAGATATATGTGAGCTACATTCTTAAATACACTCATTTCCCATGATGCCTTGAGGCTGTGTGCACATCAGCCACTAGGTGGCGCTTTTATCGCAAAGTCGTTAAAAAACACAAACATTTCAGTTCCAGACCGATGTTTCGAGCCTGGCGGTGTTTAGGCCACGCCCCCGAGGTGCTGAGTCCGATCTGCATGAAGCCAGATTGTTTACAGAACCTGTTATTGTTTATTAAGTTATTGTTGTTATTATTGTTTACTGTTTGTTAGCTCACGCAGCTTCATTGATGCTAATGTGTGTAATAATAATAAAGTAATGTCTTATTTTCACCCTCTCTCTCTCTGTCTCTATCTATCTCTCTTCCTCTCTCCCCTCCCTCTCTCCCTCTGTCTCTCTCTGGTTCTATATTTAACCTGCAGGCCGACTCTCTCGCTCACACACTCTCGACACAAGCGAGGCCGCTGACAGACGACGAGCAGGATGGAGGTAAAACTTTAAACTTTCTGTGTGAATGGTTTTAATATGATGTGATATAAATATATATATAAATAAATATATAAATGTGATAATAAATCTGCAGGTTAGGGTTTGTTGAGTGGCTGCATCAGATCTCCGTACTGTGGAAATGTTGTTTTATTACAGTCGTCTTCATACATTCATATTGTGTGTGTAACACTTTGCTCTCAGCGGTGTGAAAGAACACATTGATTTTATTAAGCAATATGAATATTACATTATATATATTTATAAATTATAACAGCTTCCACAAACAGTTTCTGGATGTAGAAACTCAAATATTTGGTTGAGTGAGTTGATGAAATCTCATATTTATAAG